GTAAACTTTCGTTCATAAATAGAGATTTGTATAATTGACATTCAGATAAGAGGAAATTTAGCTGTATAATTAATTTATAGTCGTACTTAATTTCTGCTACATAACACTCTCTTGTCCTATAGTGTCAGGCTGTCTGCCGACATTTCCCTCGTTCTTTATGATCTTCTCTCTCTCTTTCTTTCACACGTAATAAAAAATTTTGGCTTCATGCTATGATATTGTCAAACCGTGATATTATCGATTGTATATCCATCATTTATTGATCACCCCAATGAGGGATATCCGTCTATTTTGTATGTCTCATATACATGTTGATCAGTAGGAGCGGATGACATCGAGGTGTGTTCCTCCCGAGAGGTAGCGGTAGGTGATACGGTCTCAAATTGGTATTACATTTGCTTACTTTACAGCAAACTAATAAACACTTCGATTCTAATTGTCACGATACAATAATTATCAGCTCTCTCCACACGACAAAAATTTTTGCAACAACTAATACATAATAATGCAGGCATCAAAAATTTCATATCTTGGATGGAAAATCTTTCTAAACAACACAGTTTTTAAAATATAAATTTTTTTAACGAAAAAAAAAAGAGAAATTGACAGTTCAAAATTCAATAAATTATTTTTGAGCATTATCTAATATGGTAAATTTTTTCACGAATTAATTCACACAAAATAATAAAACCGATAATTAAGAAAAAAAAACAACCTACTCTACATTTATTGTTTCTTCTCGAAATCAAATTCAATTATCCGTATAAATCGTCCAGTAACGTTGTTTATTGCGTATTATTTGTTACTTGGAAAAAAAAATCAATCATCAGTTGTTTACGACCACCTCGATGGAAGAAACCAGTTATGTTCCACGTAAACTCCATAACGGATATCAAATTTGATCAGTAACGATTAATCAATATTTCTCAAAATCTTACATAATTCCTATTGCAAATAATTTCCCTTAAATTAATCATTTCATAAAGTGATCTATCTATTTAAAAAAAAAAAACTTCAGCTTTGGAACGCAAAAATATTTGTATTTTCTTAGCAGACGCATTTGTTTTTAACGTAGAAAAAAAGTATTTTGAAAAAAAAATATAATAAAGCACTATCAATTATCGATGTATCAGTATCATAATCAGCAATAATGTGTTAGACATCATTGTTCCTACTCAAACAAATGAGTTCTCTTAGAGTTTTAATTTTAATAAAATAACAAAAAAGATTACGAGAATGCATAGCACTACAGAATGGATGTTTGTATGTGGAAAAAAGAGTTGGACAAATAGCTTCTTTTAATTGAACTATTTTAAAAAAAAATTGTATTTGGATAAGATTGAAAATGCAGAAATTAGTAATAATGTCATTAAGATAATCAACAAACATAATAATGAAATTGAAATGTTAGCTTTTGTTTTCTTTTTTGCCTCAAAATTCAGCAACTAAAGTGTTAATTTCATTTACTAGACTAATTAATACACAACAACAGAGTGCCGAAGTGCCAAAAAAAGTTCAGAGATAAAGTAATAAAATAATTATGGAAGAAAATTAAATTCCTATTTCAGTGAATAAACAGCATTCAGTGGAAATTTAGCCTAAATTTATGGAAGAATAAAACGACTTATTATTCGAATCAAAATTTCACTAAAATTTTTTTTTAGAATATGTGAATATTAAGCAGCTCTTTAAATATTTAGTTCAATTAAATTTAGTTCTTTTAAAATTAAAAGTTGAAACAGTTATACAAATCATGTCAATTACATTCCTTTTCAGTGCGTCCTTAACATTAATCTTAAAAAATCCTAATTAAAAAGGAAGAAGAACCAGAAAATAAATCAAGCATTAATCATTTTGAAAAATTGTTTTTAAAAGAGGAAGAAATAAAAAAAATAAATTTTTTGAAGAAAAGATTTCTTTGTATTAAAATTTGTCAAATTTAAGGTACATTATTACAATTAGCAAATTTTTTTTGCACTTATGTGTACGAAATTAAAATCTGAAATCAATTTAAAAAGATCAATAATTAAACTAATAAATATAAGCATTGCCAGTAAGCAAAAGCTTATGATCAAAATTTGATGACCGTTGCGCAAAACATTCTCGTACTTTTTTTCACTACTAATGCTTAAGTTTGCTACCATGAAAGTATTAATAGCAAAAGATATCAGTCTTAGTTAAACTATC